CTATGCAAAAATCTTTTGTAAAGCATTTTGTATAATTTCATCGCTACGTTCAATCCAAGTATCCACATAGGTCCAAAGTAACCAAAAGATTATTGCATAGAAACCGTAGGTTGTTAAACGATCCAAAATGTATAAACGACGTAAATTTTTTTTTGCATATGGTATCGATGCCTCACTCTCGCCCATTATGTAGGTGCGAACACCTCTTATATAATCACGTATATATTGTTCCCAATTAATGTACGTTACATCCATATTAAATATATGCTGATCGATACGATTTAATTCATTATATTGCTGTCGGAAATTATCATTTTTAAATGTCCAATCTTTGGTAGTATAGTACTGCAATAGCTTAAGACCAGTTGAGATTTTATTCTGCACTTTCACTAAACTGTAAAATCAAAAATTATTACAAAAGCATATGTAATGAAATTTCGATCACTTACAATGGCTTGCGTGCGAAGAGCAATAAAAGAAAATCGATAATATAGGCTGGTAAATAATGGAAAAATATGACACAAATCAAGTGAAGATAATAATTCTTTTTTTATCGAACCATCCGGATACCAAAGAGCAAGGCTTAAAGGTGTTTGATAAAAGAGGCGTTTTCCCGTCTCAATGCTTTCGCCCCATGAAATGAGACCTTTATTCGAACCGCATAAATTGGAAAATTCTATGCAATCCGTTTCGGAGTGGGCACGATTATAAGCGGCCACAATCATACCGTTAATAGCTTTATCAACCGGTATAACCGTAGACGCATAATCGGGATTGCAATGCATGGATCTAATGACACCACGTGCTGCGCCAATCATTAAACCAGTCGGCCCATTCACACCCTCAATCCAACCGGGTAAAGGTTCCTCCATTGCCGCAGTAACTGCAAAAATAACATACGATAGTGCGATTTCATATAGAAGAAAACAAGTAAGAAAATTATATTCGATCGGGATCGAATTTTCTATACCCTATACCCATTGGCACTATTCTAGAAAAGTGTAAAAAACAAGAGGAAAATGAAATTTTTGTTGGACGCGATTGATTTATTCTATTTTCAGAAAAATATTTTAAATTTTTATAATGTATGTGTTCTACTTTACGAGTAACAAGTAACTGGCACGGAAAGCAAAGGCGTTCACAATTTTTGTCAAATAGACTTAAGGACTTCGTAGGCGTGTTCTTTTGCAAATGCTTAGCCGATATCTTCATTTCTGCTAACGGGAGAATGCTTTCCATGTGCTACTACACATTTGGGCAGACGGACAGGTGGACGTGCATGGAGATGCCATCTAAATTTGAAGTTTGCCATGATTTCGCATCCTTTGCGAGGATTTTGAAGCGTGTTTCTGTGCGTTATGAAGATATTGGAAAAAAAAACAACTAAATTTTAACACTCTATAATAGTGGGTAGGCGTGGTCAATTCTTTCCATTTCTGCACAGATAGTACAGTATCGCCCGTAGAATATAAATTTAGAATTTTGTACATTTGTCTGCTGTAGTTTAGAAGTAACAAGACTTTATGTAGGACTTTAGGCGTGTCCCTCGACTCATTTAGCCCATTTTCAATACCAATCTGCAAGCAAGCATTTGTAAACTTTTCGACGAATTTAAAGTCGATAGGTTCATTTTTCAGCAAAATGTTTACAACAGACATTAGGCAGACAGACAGACAGATAGACAAACAGACAGACAGACAGATAGACAGGCGAACATACAGATGGACGGATATGTTTAAACGTCCCTGGATTTAATGCTCATCAAAAATATATATATATAATTTCTTCTGCTTATTGCAAACGTTTTGACAAAATGAATATACCCCTCATCCTTTGGTGATGGGTATAAAAATTCAATATCAATAACTTCCACTGGATGAAATCCACTTACCGATAGATGGTCTTACAACAACAATTGGTAGTTTTTTTTCATATCTATTAATTAAATCTTCAGTCAATGCCTTACTGTAGGCATATGTGTTCGGCAGTCCGTTTAATAATCTGTGAATCGTAATGCATGCGGTAAAGCGATGAAACATATAAAGATATTATTGTATAAAGGAATATGTAGTACATCTAAACCTCTTTTTACGCAATATGAAATGCCTGAAGACTGTTCCTAAACTTAGTTTAAGTAAAGATAATGAAGGAAATTATTTCAATAATTATAGTTCAGTTTAAGCTATCGTTGCTGGCTGCCACAAAATCCTTGAATGATCCTTGACGAAGCGTCCAGTTTATGACGCGTTTCACCGACAGTCCTGAACGAAATACTTGTAATGTATGCAAATTAGGCGCTTAACTCAGTGTCCAGGATACAGTAATATTCTCGGCCATCATATATGCTGTTTGTGTTATGTAAACCTCCCGTTAAGAGAAACAGACTATCATTAAAACAGTTAGTAAAGAAGAAAATAGAAGCACAGAAGAAAAAGATTCTAAGACCAAAAGTGGTGGCAAAAATAAGTGAAAATGCAGATCCAATATTATTCTCCAATACAAGTCGAAGAATGATCAAGGCGGTCATCATCGGTCAGTTTATCGTTGGTCAAAAAGCTACAAGGTTAAAATTACCAAATAAAAAAAAAAGAACAGGTCGCGCAGTTATCTCTTCTGCTATGCCTTGAGATATAGGCAAGGAGATATAGATTCCTAAAAAAGCTTTGTCTGTTGGCGTCTATTTCACCTTCAGGTTACAAATACTTATAAACTCTCAAGGGGTGACGTGATGCACATCATTTAAGGCGTGTTACTACTTCAACTACTGTTAACATTCGAGCTCGAGGTTGCACTTTAGATTGGTTACGTAAAAGTGAATAAGAATTATGTGAAAAAATAGGGAACCATTAGTTGCAGCAAATTCACGGAAAAATCATCGTGCGTGAAAAAGGCTTAGATGTACATATAGTAATTTTGTTTCTTCTCTTACGTGGGAGTAATCTCAGCTAAACTCTGATCATTTAAGTTTTTAATCATTTCGATAATCTCATATGGATCTTGCGGCGCTGGATAGGCATGTTCTTCCAAAACGCTTTCATTGCACTATAAAAAAGATTTTGTTACTTATAAGTAATAAAAACAAATGATGAAAACAAGCGCTACGAACCTGACAGTATGTTGTCGATACGTAAGCGAATGACTTAAGATTTTCCATCTTTTCAGCCAACTTAAGCAGCTTTAATGTGCCGACAACATTCATTTCTACCATAGGACGTAATGGTTGATCAAAACGTACATTGGCTGCGCAATGAAATATAATCTCGATGTTAGTAATTAAATGTTTGCTTTCATCAATGTTAATTCCGAGATCATCTTCCAGTAGATCACCTTTGATAACATGAACTTTATTAACAATATCGGGATTTGCATCCAAAATTTTATGAAAAATCTATAAATAAAAAATAAATATCGTTCAGAATTAAATAAATATTGCATCACTCTACATATGAAAGCATATCGTACATTAAATATATATATATACATATATCGTACAATTAAATCTTTATACCGTACACCAGCTGTGGTAACAACGGTATACTAAGCTTGTGAGAACGTACGCCCGGAAGCGCTTCAGATAGACTCACTTTTTATTACACTGATCGATTTAGAAACTTATTCCGAGTCTGTCTATCCGTCTGATGTCGATCCAAAAGGCCACTTCTACAGTACAACATACTTCAATTTCGTGAACGGGGGAATGTTTACCACAGATAGCACACGTAGACGGTAGAGGGGTAGACGGACAGATGGGCAGATCAGCAGACGGACTTGCCCAAGTATATTCCGAATTTGAAATTAGCCACGAATTTATATACTTTAGGGTTTAGGTTAGGTTAGGTTAGGTTAGGTTAGGTTAGGGTTTTTGAAGCTGTCGTCCGCGCGTTAAAAAATTAAATTTTGCTATACTATTGTATTACTATTGGGTAGGCGTGATCAATTTTTCCCCTTTTCGTACTGGTGTCGTAGATGGATCTGTTGGAGCTTATAATCAGTGAGCCAAAAGAACAATCTTTTATCCCTTTCGAAAAAACGAGGTGCTCTCACTTTACCTGGTATAGTGGACGTGCTCTTCGATCGATTTTCAATATCCACCTGCCTGCAAGAACTTCCAATGCAGCCGCTAAATAATTTTATTTCCACACAGACCGGCAGGCGGTCGGGCACAAATCGATTCAGAATTTTGTCGCTGATCGAATATATGTATATAAGTAGCTTATAGGATCTCTGAAGTTTCTTTCTGGGCGTCGCAAATGTTTTGATAAAATGAATATATCCGCTTATCAATGTCATTCAAATATTTTTTTTTTTTGTTTTGTCAAACAATCTATAATTAGACGCGTGGTCTTCAAGTGGCGATGTCTTTTAAGACTATAAAATGAATTAAAGCTGCTTGCCTTTGTTATCTACGCACGTGAGTATGAGGGACAAATTCAAGCGCACATACGTACGCACTATTGTAAATAAATAACTTTGTTTACACGGTTATGTTATGTTTATAAATAAACAAAATTTTATGAGGTCCACTTTGCGACCTTGTTATATACAAAAGAAAAATGAATTGAAAGCAATTACATCAGCGGTAGCGATAGTAAATAACGGAATTGGATCGGCTTATATCAAATGCCTCTTTTTTTTTTTTTTTTTTTGGTATTTTTTAGACAAATATATTATGATAATAATAAACAATATTTTCTTAGTTGCATATGTAAGGTATGTGACTAAGTGTTCGCCTTTTTCTAATCAAGAGTGTAAGTCCAAGTAGCACAGCTACTGTATAAAACTGGAATTTCGGGTCTACAGCCATACGCCAATGTATAAGCTGTCACACTAAGGCGCACACAACACAGTTCCTTGGAGTATCGAATAAATATACTGCGGAGCCAGTCTTAGTCCTTCCCCACTTAGCTCATGCATAGTGGATCCATTAGAATCTCCAAGTACCAAATGCATTAATTAGGGTAGATGAAAGCTGAACATTCATGTTGGTATCATTTTCGTGCGTCGGCTGGGCTTCTAGCAAAACTCGCCCGGGAAATTTTTGCCTTTCTAACTGGGAATGTCCTACTCTTCGTAACATTACTCTCCTTCTATTAACATAACGACGCAGGCGTCCACTAAGGAGAAGTTGGCGAGAGAGGGACAAGTCGTCTGCTTGCAGATTTTCGTACCATAAACATCACCTAATATGGGTCCTGAAGCCTATGAGGAGATCGAAAAAGTATTAGAGTAGTTTAGGGACTGGTATTACTGGGTTGATATCTCTTTCCTCTACCAAGACGGGAAGCGTGATATAATACGAATAGAAGAGTATGCTAGGACTTGCTTAACGTGGATAATTCTAATGCTTTATAGATAAAAACTATGGATTCGTAAGGATCAGGTTTTCCAAAGAAAAATTGCTTTCAATAAATGCGATGATATTTTCTATCTCATCTTACCTGACTTTTGGGAGCGGTCCTTCGAGAATTTCTCGTGGTCATTACTACACTTGGGGGGGCATTATATAATTAGAAGTGTAGACGGGCCTCATCTTGCCAGAGGAAGGGCTTTGGATTGTACCTTAGCTAAGTCTACATTGTTTTCCTGTGTTCAACGTGCCGCAATTTTTGACACATTTTAATGCTACTTAGTACACTGACATGTTTTGTCGTTGGTCACGAGCACTATTGAAAATGGTTTGGATCAAGCTGTTTGTTCGACTACTTCCCATATAACGCTCTATTTTAAAAAGTTGTTATAGGAATAACTTAAAAAAATTGCATATGAATAACTTTGGGTGGTGTAGAGTATCTAATAGTGGGCCCTGGCCAACTAAAGAGTTTTTACTTGTTTCTTTTTGATCTCTTTAGATTATTCTTCTTATTATTGTGTAATGTACACATTGAAAATTTTTCATTTAATATGTTTCGTGAAACCTTTCCTGTATCCACCTACTCCACCTCATCCCACCACCGGAAGACAGAAGTATATTCAATCGAAATCTTTCCATCACTCTGAAGGGAACTTCAGAATCGCCCTGCTTTGTAACATCTCTTGATCACGAAAATCAAGGTCCGGCCAAAATGTTGGAAGTTCACGTTCGGAGTTTGATACTGAAAATGAATCAAATCAGCCAGAGGACAAGTCTACAATGCAACATAAAATGAGAATATCAGTATGCGTCGACGATAGAAATTTCGAACTGATTTCTACTAGAATAGAACGAATCAGCCAGGCCAACTCAATATTAAAGTCGATCGAAATTTACTTTTTTCATCTTTTTTTACATCGTACACCACATGTGATACAAGCGAATATATATAATATCCAGAAGTACTTGAGATAGACGCATCTTTTTTCATTGTCTGTCCATCTTCCCGTCCGTCTGTCCGTCTTGTTTTCTTGTATGCTATTCACCTATCTTTTCTGTCCGCACGTTCATCAGTCCGTCCATCCGTCCATCCGTCCATCCGTCTGTCCGTCTGTCCGTCTTTTTTTCTTATGTTCTGCTTACAAAACGCAGAGTTTTGAAACAGTTTGGGGAAATTTGGTACACCAACCGATGTTTTAGCCTAAGGACGAACGCTATTGAAAATGGTTCGGATCGGACAAATTTTTTGATCATTTCCCATATAGCGGTTTATTTTGAATAAACCCGTTAGGCGACAAGGTGTGCGGTGCTATATCCCTCTATACTCTTTTTACTTGCTTTAGTCCCTTGCAAAGTAAAAGTGATCGACGTAAAAGATTCGTTCACAGACAAAAATTATTTCCCTATCTCTTTTTTTTTTTTTTTTGGCAATCATACTAACAACTCGGGATAGAGAGGTAGACGAAAATGTTGAAATGTTTATCTTGCCCTGATCAGCAATGCTTATATATACCCGTATATAATCTGCAATTCGCATTTCAAGCTCTTACAGCAGCAAACAAAAACAAATAAAAATCTTTTCGAAGACAAGCTTCTTTCTTATTAAGTTTCCAAAACAATAACAACAAAATAAAAAAAAATATAATATCAAGAGACTTACCACACATTTGAAATATTGATGTTTTCTTGCTTCCGCTGTAAGACCCTTTTTGGGCCGCACAATTAAATATAAGCCTTTTATATGAGGACAACTTCTTAAAAGTTTTTCAACTAAAACTTTTCCCATAAATCCGGTTGCACCGGTAATAAGTACATTCTTTCCAGCATACCATGACGCAATTTCCGATCTCTCACTATTCACTTCATCTAGAGCCGTGCCTTTCATATTAAAACTCTGTCTAACACGTTATATTATATGTGTAATGAAAATCTGAAAAAAAACAAAGAATGCAAAATATGCATACAATTATCAAATTCCAATGTAAAATATTTTTTGTAATCATTACAAGAATTGTCTTAAGTTTACTAAATACTTAAAGACTCTGTGTGTAAAAATTAAATGGAATTCATAAAAAAAAAAGATAAGTAAGAATAGTCGGGCGACATCGAGCATTACATGCCTTATACCTCTTTGCCTAGTACAGATATTCGCCCGTTTTGCTAAAAACACATCAACACATTATAGTCGAGCGACGTCGATCTTTACATGCCCTACATCATTTCGGTTAGTAAATTTATTCGTTCGTTTTGCTAATAACATATCAACACATTATAGTCGGGCGACGCCGATCTTTACACCATTTCGCTTAGTATAGTTACACTAAATACATCAAATACACCATAAAGTACACATTATTTTCATGCAAAACCATATTGGAGGACAAGATTTCCTCTTCATATACGACTTTGCCTGTCATGATAGCGCCTATTTAAGTGAGAGTTGAAAAAAATAGTGATTCAAATTTCCTACCGTTATTTTTTTTTGCTGAAACGCTTCTATGAAAATCTTATATGGAGTCGCAGAAGAAATAGACCCATGTGGTCCCAACTAGGCAAATTTTCATTCACAAAAAGTTTGCAATTGGGCTTTGTAGGCATATAGGGGTTTATGTTTCATAAGAATCCTTATATGCGGTGGCATCCAAAAAATAGACCTACGTGGTCCAAATTCGGTAAAATAATTTTTTTTGCCAATTTACTATGATGAGCTAATTTTCACCATGAAATATTAGAAATTCGATCTTTTTACCATATAAAGCTTTAGTTTCGATAGGAATGGTTAAATGAGACCGTGTTCAAAATATTGCCCCAGCCGGTCTAAAATTTTCGTACCAATTTAAAATGCCGAAAAACTACTACTAAGTCACTGAAATTTTCCAAATTGCAAGTTTTTCCCATGTAACGACTTTTCAAAACAGAACGTTACATGGAGAGGAGTCGGGAAGGTGAACCTTTCCGAACCATTTTCAATAGTGTGCGTAATTGGGTTAAAGCACGTCAGTCTACCGTATTCCATCAAAATATCTCAGAAATTGCGACCAGCAGCTTGGACACTAAAGTACATGGACAGACATCAGACGGACACGCGGACAGTTAAGATGATATAATAAAACATGGGTCGACTTTAAGCCATTCTGAGTGTTGCATATGTCCGCACTAACTAAATGTACTCTGTACGACATGTGGTGTAGGGTACAACAAATCAGAAGGTTATATTGGACGGGGGCCGAATTTTGCATACCCAACACATGAGCGCTTAGTTTCCTTAAGATTTTAATGTCCGAGAAATTGGTTCTTTCTAACCGGCCTAAAATTTTATATATTAAACGTTCATCATAATTATATTACAACTAACACACTTTATCGCCTTCTACTCTCTAACTCTTTTCATTTGATATTTATAACGAAGGGATTTTTAAGAAAACATATATCGGAAATTGTTAGTCTTCTAATTTTCATAATTTCTGGGCAACGAGTAAAAATTCACAAACTTTTATTAAGAAAAACGGAGTTGGGTTCAGTTTACGTTCCACTACGGGCTTCTGCTCTGACCAATTAGGTCCATTTTCAATACCAACTTGCGTGCAAAAGCTTCGAATGTTTCTATCAAATTTGAAATCGATATCCTCACTTTTGCGACCACGAGAGTGCCAACAACAAACATCACGCAGACGCACAGACGGGGAGACATAGCTTAATCAATGCACAATTTCACGCTGATTACTAGTAGGCAAGAATATATATACTTTATAGGGTGTCTGAAGTTTCCTTATGCGTGTTACATACATTATGGAAAAAAAAAACACAAAACGTGTATATCTCCATGCCTCAGTGGTGGGTATAAATAAATAATAATAATTTTCATATTTAATAATATAAATATAAATGAGCATCAATTTCTTCGCATCTTCTTCATTTCGTCAATATTTCCTTTTGTTTTTTTTTTTTTTTTGCTCATTCTTTCATGTATTGAAGGCAGACTACAACGAGAAAAGTCAACTATCACTTTTGGTTTTTTTTTGAGTCATATGTCTTTGTTTTTGCCATACAACATCTCTTTCTATCTTTTGTCCTTCTTTGATAAGTCTTTGTCTGCTTTGTTTCACTAATTCTTAAGAGATGATTAATAGAAGCAACGGTTTTAAAATCACTTTAAAACTCGCAGATACTGCTTAAATACTACTTGGTAACTCAATATAACGATGGCTTATAATAATCTAACAATGATGTTTAGAAAAAGTCATTCCGCGCGCATCCTTAAAAATACAATAGATGTACAAATGAAAATTTATTTAACATTAAATACTCTATGTCACATTATCTTCTTCGTCTTTTGCCATACAACACAAAAATTATACCCCACTTACTATAATGGAACCTACTGTTATAGAACTGTATATGAAAAATTAGGCTTCTTTGGAAATGAAGGTTTACTTCTCTTAAGAATGATTATGGATAAGCCGATAATGTATTTCATCACATCACATTATCTTCTTTGTCTTTTACTATAGAAGACAAAAATTATACCTTGTTTTTATATGAACTTACTATTGTGGAACTGCATATTAAAAATTAGATTTCTTTGGAAATAACGGTTTACTTGTCTTAAGAACAGTTATGGATAAGATGTCAGTGTACTAAAAATTGTGATTTGTACGTTTAACCCAAGTACAAAACGGATGGGCAGACAGACGGACAGACTTAGATCGATTCAGAAAATGATTTTAATCGATCGGTCTAACAAAAAAAAACGGGGTCTTTCTTAAGCCCTTTTGGGTGTTACGTACGCCCCTACAAACTTAATATATCCCGTACCACAAGTGATGTAGGATATAATAATCGAAATAATCATCACCATTCTTTATGTTACTTTGCCTTTTTACGGATACCTCATGGATGACCCCACCTTGCCTGGAAACTTGCCTATTTAAGGACGAAATATCTATCGATCCATTTTCACACATCTTCAACTTCTGTGAACCGTTGACTTTCGAAATATGTTTGCCGTAATCTGAATAAGTGGCTAATCGAAGGCGGCCAGGTCTGAAGAATGCGCAGAGTGCGATAAAGTTTACCCGTCCAAGCTGAAAATTATCTCTGAAGTTGCTTTTAATGGAAGCGGACGGATGTTCTAACTCCAAACTAACTTAATCACTTGCATAATTTGAGCTACGTCTTTTTCACGCTTAATTCTGTTAAAACAAGTAAGAATATTACAGTGGGGTAAGCTCCACCATTAGATTCCTACCCTGCACCACTTCGTCTACTACACTTATTAAAACATTTCGTTAATAAGACATCAAAAGTTACACACTGTTGTCATGCGGTAGCACACATTTCATGAAAGCTCCTACAATGGAAAATACCCACAACATCACAAGGCGTGATCCTAATTTAGCAAACTTAACGTACTTTCTAAATATTTTGTTAGTTAGAGTTTGTCGTTAAAGACCATTTTACACTTATTCTCTCCATATAGGGGCTTGTTTTTCATGATATCTCCTTTACATGTGGGGATCCAAAAAATAGACCTACGTGATCCAAATTCCCTGCTGTTCATTTTTTTGGGTTAATTTGCTATTGCGGACCAATTTGCATTAACATTAATAAACGGTTTATTTTTCATGGAAGCCTTTACATGTGATAAGGTCTCGGAAATAGATGTATTGGGATCAAATTTGCTACATATCATTTTACTGCCAAATTGATGCTGCTGTCGATCAACTTTCGTCAGACAATATTAAAAATTAAAACATTTTACCCTAATACGGTCCATTTTTCATGAAAACCTCTGCATATGGTAGAGCCTAAAAAATGGACGTATGTGGTTCAAGTGTATATCAGTTTATTTGTATTATCAAAGTTGCCATTAAGCAACAGTGCTCGTCATAAAGTATTCTCTTTCGATATTACGATATATTTTTCATGAAAACCCTTATATATAACGGGGTCCAAAACTTAAACCCACGTGGTTCAAACTTGCTTCTAATGTCGAATTGTTATTAAAGCTCAAATTCCTTCCAAAAGTATTGGAAATTAAAACTCCTTTTCATAAGAAGATATATTTTTCAGGAAATTTTTTATATATAATGGGATCTAAAGAATAGACTTGCGGGATTTAAAATTGCTATGATTAATTTTGAGCTAAACATCTACTATCTACCTATTCTAGCTTGTCTAGCTTTTATCTAGCAAGACACGTTTGCCCGGTTCAAACCTTACTTTTTTGGCTGGGTATTGCGGGGTTTCATATATAAGCAAAAAAACGACATAAAGTTACCTGGTGTAGGATAAGGGGGTAAAGAAATTTGATTTAAACTGATTTTACAAATTTTTATTAACAATTTTTTTGCGTTACATTCACATTTTTGTGATTAATAACGGTACAAAGGCAACCGAAAATTACTTTGCCTTACACTTGCATTTTTTGACCAAATAAGTCAGTCTAATAAGTCAATATAATTAATGTTATATAACATACAAATAATGCACATTCATTAAAAGAGAGAAAAAAAAAAAATAAATAAATAAATAAAATCTTATTTAAGCCCTACAAGTCGAAAACGTGCGCTTGCATTGTATACGAGTTTAATAAGAGGTTTTTTTTTTTTCTTTTTTTTTTTTTTGCTGATGATTAATCATTAATCTCTGCACAAATGTCGTTGCGTAGATGCATGTCCGCAAGCAAATACAAATTGAAGTAAATTACAATTGCTATTGACCGCTAAATTCGAAAGTAAATTGTTCATCCATTTTTTCTTTTAGTCTTAACAATTGCAAGAAGGCAAATAAATTTCAATTATCACTTTCAACGATCGATCAATTATAAATGAATTATGAATTTTTTCTTTAGTCCTTAAAATTAATAATAGATTTGATTATTAACAAAAAAAAAAATCAAAAATTTCGCTCTCACGCAAGA